CAGGGCTCCCAAAATATAGAGAATCTAGGGGTCCACCGTTGTATGTCTATATAATCAGGACCAGGACCCCCCCAGTGGTATTGCAACATACATGCACCAGCTATTTCATTGTCGAACTCGGAGCCATTTGCCATCCACATATCCATTAAACTTATCAGGGAGTGTAGACGTGTCCGTGGTCTTTTGCATGTCGTTGTTGTTGTTGTTGTTGTTGTTATTCGCTTCTTCGCAGGTCGCCCGAACTTCATCAAGAAGAAGAACCGCGAGAGCAGGTGATCTTCTCGATCGTGAAGTGGGGACATGGATGGGTTTTCCTGGATGGATATGGTGTGTAATGCTGAAGTAACAACTTCTTCACAGTGTCTTTGGAGTCCCCAAGTGACCTTTACAGGTGCAAGTGACTTCAAACCGGGAGATCAAAGGGTCACTTTGAAGAACCAGGTAGGATGACTCTCAATGGAGCCATTGCAGGATCAAGTGGCTTGTCACGAGACCCAGACGCGCAGAAATTCCATGTTTTCCTCGGGGAGTGTTGGGACTTCTGCCTACACTCCGATTTCATTGGGTGTAAGCACAAGTCAGCACAAGTCTCCGGAGCTAGAACTCCAAGGGGATGTTCATAGCAGCTAGTGTGGGCCGACCCCAACGCCGCTTTGTGAGCATTGGAGAAGGTTTGTTCTAACTACTGTGTGGAAGCGCAGAGTACGTGGTGGGATTCCAAAAACCTGACGGACCAACATGGCCTGATTGGGCTCACGTCCATGACCACCATGGGCTCTCAAGAGCCGGGTCCAACAAAAGCTCTGGATTGTAGCACTGAGCCTAGGTACGACTGGACCCTCCTGGCACCTACATAACAGTGTCTCCAATCACCTGAGAAGGTACGACTGGATCCCTGGGGTGTAGCACTGAGCAGCCAGTTGATCAACACCTTCGACGATCCAAAAACACCTTCGACCACCAGTACTCGAGATGTTACCTTCTGGCAATCTATAGGCAGTGTATAGGTACAACCCAGCTATAGTACGTATAACTTATATGAATCAATATCGAGGGCACTGCCTTCCACTAATTCCCCCAGAACTTCAAGTTGTGCGATGAGGATTTGGATTGTATGCAGGCAAGTGTTGAGATTCTTCTTCTTATGATGTGCGGAAATGTGTGGGTGCCTTGGTGCAACGCTCCAAAATGCTCCCCCAACACCCGGAAAAAAAAGTAAACACATGCCGAAGACCTGCGTGGCCTGGAGGGTCTGACTTCGGCTCAGCTCGAAAAGAGGGGTCTTTGCCTTGGTGTAGAGGAAAGGAATGAGGCTATACCCTATCTTGAGTGGTCTCAAAGGCTAAATTATATAGGTTGCTATTAGATATGTTTGTTTGTTGTTATGTCATACTACGTGTCATTGCGATGGGTAATTACGCCTTTCGACATGATTTTTCCCTGCAATACATCATCCATGGCAGTGCCATTCTTCTTGGTTTCCAGGTTTTCTACGTTTTCCAGTACCAGTTTTGGCTGCTCATGTGTCCGGCGCAGACTGATCAGATCTTACTTTCGCACTGAGGCACCAGCAGCCACGCCAAAGAGTGCGGAGATTGCAGGCTGCGTGGTGCGTAGTGGCGTAGCGTGTGGGGTTGAAGGAAGGACCTCGCCCGTACCCTGATTCAGCTGTGAGGTCAACACCACGCAGAACATTCTTCCAAAACAATGGAAGGTTGACATGTAGAGGGTTAGATCCAAGGACGTTCAAACCCCCAAGAACCTCTTGATGACTAATCCAATAGGAAGTCCAAGGTTTTTGCCGATTTCGGACACGTTCTCTTATTTTTCTTCCTAGTTTTCGCCTAGGTTCATTTTTCCGCATTCGGTAAATCCATTTAAATCCCCCAAACTGGGGGAAGTTATTTGATTGTTTCCCGTTCCTTCATGTTCCTCGAGCATAGAACCATATATTCATGCAGGGCATTTATGCATATAAATATATATATATATATGTATTATATATATACTTTTAATGAAATATATAATAACTTTTATATCCTGCGACATGACTTACATTCATTGGTTGGAAAGAAAGGTTGGGCAACTAGGAAAAGCCAAGCCAAGCACCCGTCGTTTGGTGGGAATATCTCCGTTCAGGTTTGACACTCTCGCTCATTAGTAGTGTGGGCTTTTGCTAGGCTTACCATGTCAAGCGAGAACGTGCTCGAACATTCAACAACAGTTCGGAATGTTCCGGATTAGAGTTCATTTACGCAAACATAGTCAATGTTAACCGTTCTTTGCTGACTCTGGTAAGTCTCAAAACAGTAACTGGAATCACTATTTTGCAATCAAAGCTTCTTTGTGAAAGCTGTTTGGAAAAACTTGTGCACATGTTTGGTTCTAAGACTTGTTGAGTTCTTCCATTCCAAGGGCAATGTGGAGCAGACCCTCAGGTGAGTTGCTGCGCAAGAAAGTCAAGTCTTCAGGCTTGCTAGTGGCAGCCTTAGCAGTGGTTATCGACGGTAGGGTCATCAAACCAATGCAAACCAACGCCAATCTCTACCTGGGAATGTTCTCCTTGCAAGATGGATTCCACGATAGTCCCAAAAGTACGCATGATTAGCCACTGTGGAAGAGTCGGAAAACAAATGCAACACTCTCCAGAAGTGATTCTCAATGGATTGCACGTATGTTTTGTTGCCGAAGCTTCAAAGGGCCACTGGCCGGCCTAGTATCCACAACATTCCACAGCATCACCCAGACACTCCATGTATGGAATCATTGCCTATATTGTGGTGGTTTCCCAGTTCAGTTCAGATACAATAGAAGGTCTTTTGAGGAATCTGTCCAGGGGCTGCCATGGCTCCTAGTTTGTGCAGATGATTGTTCCCAATCAAAGCTGCCGAGTTGCTGTTCCCAACCTTGGCGACACCTGCAGCGCAATTGGTTGACTGAGGAAACACCGGATACAGCCAGTGTGATCAGCAGAAATAGCAAGAAGGCTTTGCCAGGGCATTGAAAGGGACTTGTTCCATATCCAACTCACTTCAGAATAAATTGAGGTTGTTGAGACATTTGGAATCTTCGTTCCACTCCATGGATTAAAGCAGCTTTTTATGCGCTCTGTCAAAATGCTGATCTCCCAACAGCTTCAGTTGCTAGTGTCTTCTTCAAAACTGTGATTTTGGAGGCTTCTTCATCTCCACTCAGCAATACAGGGTGGTGGCTTCAGATATTTTTTTGTTGCCGCCTTTGCTTGGGATTATTGAATCCACTGACCAATAGTTTTCATTCATGAGTTGAAAGCACCAACCAGAATCATCCAGAATCGACACCTTTGAAGACTAACATGGAACCTGAAAACCGTTGGTGGAGGAAAACAAGCTTCCACGATGCCAGACAGTCAGGGTCGAGCTGTGAGTTGACTCGGGAGTGGAAATCCTATGCAATCTCGACCCACTGACCGCGAATCGTTCACCCCGTGAATCGTTGACCCCTCTGGCCATCGCGGAAGTCAGTTCGAGCCCCGAATTGTTGGATGTTCCTTTGTTCAAATCGACCTGTTGGAATCTCCCGGATCCGGATCGTTGCCTTCTCCACTCGAAAAATCCTTTCGTCCGATGCACACATCGCTGTCCGTTCAGGAGCTTGAGGATCCAGGCACACCACACCGTGGTCGCAACCATGGACTGGGGGAGGATATGGCCTGGTCGCAGAGAACGGATGAGTGGCCCAGGTTTGGTGGTGAGTGCTCTTTCTTTAAAAAATCCTTAAGAGATCCAGTTGCAGACTCAGACTTTTGCGAAGCACTCTCTCTCCCTCTCTGTTTTTGTGTGTTGTTTGTTCAGTTTTAAGCTAAGCCGCATTAAACCTCTACATTGGCTCCACTATGATGTTATGTTTTGAGACTGCCTGGCTGCCTGATGTTTCTTTCGTGTTGCCCTTTGCAATTGTTGGCAACTAGTTTTTTTGGCAGACACATGGAATCAGGGGAAATATGATGTCGCTTTATAGCTCTTCTGTGTCTCAATGGAACATCTTTCTGCACAGCGCGCGGACACCATTACTGCGTTGATCAACCCCTCAGTTGCGCATACAGTTGTCACAGTTAGGTGTTTGACCTATTCCTTTACACTACGTTGTTGATAGCAGCCCACCGAACATTGAGATGAGATATCTCATGAATTCTCATGATCTCTTGAAATTAATTTGCGGAGGCTGCTCGTCACCTTCCCAGGCATCAACCGACAACTATCTATCCTGCTATGCTCCATTCAGGGTTCCGCGGTGCAGATTGCTTCCACTGACACGACATGACACGAGTCTGAGATCAATGAAGCCAAGGTGTGAATCAGGAGCAACCCCGCCATACCTGGCCAAGCCAATACCGGCAAGCCCCACAAAAAGGGAATGGAATGGAGCAGATGTGTTTGGTCATTCGGACGCATGAACTAAATGTGTTTAATCGCGATCTTTTCAGTGGTTCTCGTCCCACATTACTCTGACCTACCGGGCTCGCGCATGCTGGCGCCAGACTCCACCCTTTCACGCTTTCTGCAAGCCAAGCGCGGCGCTCAGCTCAACCAGGGGTCATTCTGCTTACATCCACTTGTTCATGTCACCTATGATGCGACCATTGTTGAGGATAAACTCCTAGACACGAATGTTGAGTCTCGAGCTTGTGGTGCCCTTTGATGGCCTTTTGGGGTGCTTATCCTTGCAGTGCAATCCAGCTTTCATGTTTCCTCAGATTTGTGGTTTGGCTTCGTTGGCTGGAACCCTTTTGTGGCCCTCCACCAACTGGGTGCATGTTGAAGGTTTCTTATGTGTACAGACGACCTGATATAGGGCTTATATTTTATGGTTCAACACATGTTGGTTACCACCTTCCGTCACAGCAGTGTACTTGTTGACGTCGTTGGCGTGTTGCACACCGCACAGGTGTTGCACAAATTGCTTGCTCCGTTTTGCTTGATCGCATTACATTTTGGGGCCTACAGCGATCAAACTGTAGGGCTCTACAAGCTATATGTCCTCTTGCTGGACCCGTTTACTTCGACGACTGGCATAGATGCCCGGAAGAATATGCAGCAGAAACGGACAAGGCAGTGAGGTTGCTTTCCCGCCGCTGGGACCCCTGGAATGCTAATTGGCTCTGGCGCCTGGCAATTGCAAACCTTTCGCGGCCCAGCCCAGTTTCATGCCATGGGCGGGGGGGTTGGATCTGACGACTGACATGTGCTGACGAAGGCACTTTGCAACTCTCACACATACAAAGACCAGGACGGCTGAGCTTTGTGAGCAGATTGATGAAGTGCTCCGCACGCGTCGCTTGGCTGGGAAGACGGCATGCTCTTTCATGTGCTCGACCGCGTGCAGAACGACGGCATGTTCAGAAGGTGACACGCGACGGCAGAAAGGGCCATACGCAGAACTACCCAAGGAAGCGCTGGATGCATCTAGGGGACTTGACGACAGCCTTGTTGACGACAGCCTTGTTGACGACAGCACTGCTTCACGAGCCAAACAGAGTCGCTCTTTTACGGCTGAGCCAGGGGAAGCGATGACATCAGGCCTTGGGCCTTGGATGGAGCAATGTGAGAAGAATCGATGGTGGGCTGCAGTGCTCGAAGCGATGGCAGCTCTGGGCTCGATCAACGTTCTGGCCCAAGAGAATGTTTTGGGGGAGCATTTGAGGAAGCGATGGCAGCTTGGAGTGTGTGAAATGAGCCAAGCCGCTGATCTTCGAAGGTGAAGTGATGCCATATGTTTGTGCACTGCGTTGCTAGGCTGACTTGCTTGGAGGCTCCCCGGTACTGGTACTGCATTGACAACGATGCCGTGCGGCATCCTGAGGTGGCTGCTTTTGCAAGATCAGTGCAAACATGATGCGCGCGGCCTTGACCTTTGCCATGTGCCTTCGCACTCTAGTCCTATATTATTGCTGGGGGGGGTCCATATCGAATATTTTTTTCTTTCCAATCTGCAGAAACCACGGGGCATGTCGTACGAGAATCGGCCAGGCCGACCTCCTTTCGCGCGCTGAGTAAGAGGCTGACGTAGTTGGGCGTAAATATTGACCCTCTAGCTTTGATATGGAAACGTGGTGCTGTATAGCAGAACCATTCGATTGGGTCGGTTTCCAAGCCATTGGCTCTAGAGAGATGTTTGGCATTCGGCGGAGAGCGATCCTGGGAAGGACGTGAAACATGTTGGCTGTGTGCCTGGAGGCCCTGAGGTACACTATGTAGGCACCGTGAGCAGGCTTTTGAGAGCGCTTTTGAGGTGTTTCAATGATGTCCTGAGTGCCCAAAGGTGTAACTTTGGGGGACGGTGGGATCCACCTCAGGGCTTCGTCCACCCATGTCCAAACCTTCGGACACAGCCGTTGCCATGTCTAATCACTTCTTCCGAGGCGTTCGCCTGCGCCCAGTACCAGAGGAACTCCGAGGCGTTCGCCTGCGCGGCCTGCGCGGCCTGCGCGGTCGCATAGCGTCCATCCGTGGCAATGTCCATCCGCGAGTTCGCTGGAATCAGGAACTCTCTGGACGGCCGAGGTTTTAGGACCCACAAGCCTCACATGATGAGGTGAAAACGCGTGGGAATGAGGTGTTTGAGGTCCAGTCGATCAAGGAAGGCTTCCTCATACCGAAACTGTGTCACTCCAGCCTACCTCGATGGGCCTACCCTTTGGAGTGACAGCCCTTTGGAACCAGCCACCCAGTCCAAAGCTTTGGTTTTTGTGATTTAAAAGAAGCTTTGTTGGGGCCCGATCCAGTCACCAGATCACCAAATGTCACCTCAGTAGGGTTACAACATCTCCGACCAAAACCATCCAACATCCAAGGAGCGTTGCCCCAGCGTTGCCCCATGTCGCCTGGTAGGGTATGAAAGCTGATGGCTTTGGGATCCTTCACACGATGGTGGGTCTTGGAGTCTCAGATTCTGTGATTTGGTTCGTATGGAACTGAATAGCAGAGTACTTGAACCTTTTTTGATACCAATGCCCTATGCCATCCTACCGTACCCAACACCGGGACAATGGAAATTGAAAAAGAACATGTATTGCCCCAGAGTTCGTTCGTTTCACAAGCGTTTGGGGTGGCGGGCACCCCACATCCAACTGCTGCATCCTTCTTTACCTACCGTACCAGGCCTCATGATCAGCAGAAGGCTGGGCTGCCGGCCTCAGTTCGTTCATGAGTGACCACTTTGAACTAACACCTGGCGCATATGGTCGTGTTTTTGTTCGAAGGGTGTGAGGGAGGGTGTCTGTTGAAGGCATGTATATCGCATGCTTATATCGCATGCTTGGAGGGTCAAGGATCATGCTGGATGGGTTCTAGGATCATGCTGGAGCCATGGATCCAGTTGAAGCACGATCAGCGGATCCAGTGGATCAGTGGACCTTCGGTATCCTTCGGTGCTGATCTCAGTCTTGGCCAAGTCAACCGCGATCTCCACGGCTAGCAAGAGGTCACCAGTTGCTCAGACTCAGATGCTTCAAAACTGAGTAACACATATGGCGGGGACTGACAATGTTTGAATATGTTTGACCTTCAGGGTCTCAGGTGGAATGCTTTGGCAATGTGTCCTTGAATCATTTGGAATTTGAGTCATGTTCCATTGCTAGGCTTGCAGACCTGGAGTGTCTAAAGAGTGCGTATTTATTATTTATTTCAAGTAACATGACTCTGAATCATGTGACTTGGAGCTTAAATGTTAAGGGTTGTTCATGAACCACTTACTTTTGGGTCAAAGTAGTTGCCTGTTTAAACACCTATTTGTAAGAAAAGACACAACGACCTGCCAGGCTCCACATGGCAGCCGCTCTCGCGTGTCCTCCGAGGTGCAGCGTGTAAACCGTGCCAAAAGCGTGCCCCGCGTTTTCCCATCTCTCGACTTGTTGGTCATAGTCCCAAAATGTCCGAAACACTCCACGGGACTGGCATATTTACATTGTGGTTGAAAAGGAGTCAAGGTAAAATAGAGTAAATATTCCACACATGCATGGGAGTGTTTGGGATTGTCAGTGAGAAAATGACCTGGCAGTGATCTACCAGAGCTTCCCTGCCTCGCCTTTGGTGTGACTCGATACAGTTGCCTCCCAACAGAAGCACAACTTCTAGGTCGTGGCGAACTTTCCGCATGCAGCCGCTTGTCGGTGGAGTGGGGAGCAGTTGCAAGTCCACAGCTTGTGGTGAACTAATGACGTCGCCTAAGGTGTTTGGGGTGGGTTTAGAGGGTCTAAGAGGTTTTGGATGCCCAGGGAACAACAAGACAATAAACATCAATTAAACAATTTATATAAAGCGCATTAAGAAGGTGAATTGATCCCCACCGAATCTCATATTGAGAGAAAACATGTTGCATTAGCGATTGATTGTTACACTTGTTACACACAAACACAGGACGGCGGGGTCCACCTCACGTGATTTTGGCATGAGAATCCCATCCGTGTCTTCGGAGAGTCCATGGTCAGAACCTCCGATGTCCGTGGGATTTGGCCTGCGAAGCGCTGTGTTGGAGCATCATTCGGTTCGAACGAATGGTTTTTCGTTTTCTTCCGCATGCGAGAAGAATGCCATACGCACGCGCATTCGCACAAACAGAATGTCGGAATGACATGGAATGACCATGCATCCATTGTGGATCTTGATGGGGTGAAGGCCGCTGGCGGATCTCGTCATGGTTCGTTCGAGATCGCCTGACTTCATTGACGCCGTTTACATCCCCACTGACATCCCCATGGTGGAGATGAGACCCGTTGTTCTTCCGGCGGCAGGACAGCAACGCCTACTCAGATGTGAGTTTTTTTGTTCGGGAGCTCGGCTTCGCTGTGAGTTTGGCAGATTGGAAGGGGTTCGGCTGGAAGTCAGCCTTCATGAACCAGTGGCCATCGGCATCAGACCAGCGTTCATGCTTTGTTATGTTCAGTGAGTGAACTAGAATGCGGTACGGTCGGAGAACTCTGAACTTCAGGGAATGTTGGAGGTCCAACTTGAGCGGATGAGTCCGTTTTATGTCGTTTTTTTCTCCGTGAGTGGAATGGAAGACCTTGGTGCCGCTGGTTATATTGTTTGGAACATGAGCCCAGTCTCTATTTGTTGGTGCTTGTCACAATGGGATACTTTGGAGACTCAAAAGTATAGATTCATAGATGTCCTTAATCGGTCGGGCAGTCGCTTCCGCTTCTTGGTAAGATGGTGGCTCGACAGGCTCGAGTCGGGCTGAGAATGCACAAACATCAGCTCGATTCGCATGCAGATGCAGTTCCCACCCAGAAAAAAGGGTTGGAGGATAGACATCCGCTGGATTTTTGCTACAGTAGTTCTTTTGGTTTGCACGGTACAGTAAATGTTTGTGCATTGTCAGAGATGCCGAGAACATGTGTGTTAGGCTTTGTATGCAGATGCTTCTTCATTTCTAACAGTGCAACATGCTGACGTTAGTGGCCACAAAAGGAATCAACCGCTCTTCCGCTGTTCCTTCGACCGCTGTCCCTCTCTGTCCTTTGATTGATGTGATGATGTTGACCAGCACGAGATAGTGCGCAGCAGCACAGCTGTCGTGCAGCCGTTGTGCACGTCTCAAGAAATGGCTTTCAGGGTCCAAATAAGTACTGCAGTACTGGGTGAGTCAGTGGGTATGTTGGATGGTGTGTGAACTTCCCTCATGGAAGTTCATGAATTCTATGTATGTATTATATATATATATATTTCCATAGTATCCATAGTCTTAGTCATTCCCCAACATCAACAGATTTTACTTTTGTCGTGAGTTCCGATGGCTTGATATGGCTCGTGGGTATTGAGATTAATTTGTGACACCTGAAATTTCAGGATGTTGGGTGGTTGGTTGTGATGTTGCATTGATGCTATGTTCTTGCCATGCCTATGTGAAGCTTCATGTGTGTCCGCAGCAGTATCAGCAGTATCATGGACAACAAGGGCATTGCTACTAGGAGCAAGGACGCTACGAACGTAGCTCCTGGTCTTACTAAGTAGTAACTCCTGGGGACGAGATTGTGACCTCCTAAACGAGCAGCCCCGAAGGCTCCGTGACCTCGCACCCGGACCACCGTGGGATGCAACCGAACGGTTGGTATATAGTATATAGGAAACTAAAAAGGTAACACTGTGATATAATGTGATATATATATATAATATATATATATATACAACTTGAGCTCAAGCCACTCCGAATCAGTGAGTGCCCAGATGGAACCATTTGGACGTTGAGATCTCACTTCAGATGTTTATCCCTAAATCAAATGTCTTAGGATTTGTTGAGGTCTCCTCCATATATTATACAGTACATCTCACTCCACGCATCATTGGACTTCACGTCGCGCTCGTCTTGCCGGTCCAAGAACCGTGGCAATGGCCCATGAGCCCCTCGGAGCTGGGAAGCTGAAAGTTCAGAGAAGCTGATCGATAGGTGGAATTAAATATAGTGATCCCCAAATAGACGACCGACAGTTAATTAGGTGAACACCCAAACCTCCCAAACGACTCCGGCAGATTCTTCTTGGGGCTACAGATTTGCCCGGGATCCAAGCTGGTGGAATCCTTAAAGCTGATGCGATCGAGTGCTACCATGGATTCCATGGATGTTTTTCCTTAAACAGAGATTTGTACATCAAATGAGACTCCAGAGCATCTCTGATGAAACAAAACATCTGGGAATGATTGTTCATGTGATGTGGGATGGGTGACAGCTTTGACAGGGACCCCAATCTTTGGCAGATGAATATCCATGAAGCTAAGCCGTACGACAGAAGTGGTCTGGAATTTTGAAGGGCCACGAGTCTTCCGAAGTAGGGCTGGCGTGGCAGCGCCAGCCGTGGCGGCAAGGAAGGAAGTGATGGGGCTTCGCCC